ATAAAAGCTGCAACGTAACGGTTACAGTCTGTGAGCTTTCTGATCGTAAACTGCCCAAAATAAGATCCACCAGATTGTATAATGCAGGGGCACCTCCTTCTACTTGCAAAGCAACTAGAGTTGCAAGATCTAAAGACTTTCGTTTCCTCGCTGCGCTCACAGAAGCTTTCGAGCCTGAAGGAGCTGGTGTAGTGTCAGGTAAAGCGAGAAGGTAATGAAGGATAAGATGAATCATGTCAGGATGATCTAAAGATTCTAGAATTCGTCGTAAATATGTCAATACTGCAACCGATGAACCTCCATCAACATCTGAAGATTCGAGTAGAGATGGATATCTATTACAGACATTAGTTTTAGTAGCCAAGGAATAACAAAGAACCCATACAGTAGTTGCTGTAGAAAGATGACCTGAAAGTGCTCCAAGAGTGTCTGTTTAACCTCCATGGATTTGCAATGATTCAGCACATCCTGCCAGAAGACCAAATGTGAAAGGAAAGTTTCCATGTGCGATTGATAATCCTCATCGACTGAGCTCACAATCTCATGTGTAGTAAGAGGGTGTCGATAATCCGAAAGCGCCAGAACAGGAGGTAATGCATCCGGAGGATGATCAATAACAAGCTTTCGACTGAGCTGACTGTATAGTGCACCAAGTCCTGTAGCCATGAGAGTAGCCAAATCACTCTCAACTATCCATTGCTCCAGCGCCACATCATTCGAAGCTGCTTCAATAATATAGAGAAGACCTGTCCTCGCAAAATCTCCACATCTCCCTTCCTCATGTATGTAATCAATCAACAGATAGAACAGTTGAAAATCCTCCTTGTGTGTCTTTCCCGCAAACTTCTCATGCGGATCCGCAGTATATCCCTTTGCAGCATCCTCATCCCTTCGTTGCGAAGTAAACCAAACCGGCAAGATTTCCGGATCAAGTCTAATCTTGGTCGTAATATTGAATGACAGCTCCACCACCTCGACCGCCAATTCCGAGCCCAGATTAATATTATTCGACCCGGTAATCCGAACCAGCAGATTCATAAGACTTTTGGCGAAAACATCATTCTCGACGAAATTCTCCTCCTCGCTATCAAGCAATGCAGCAAAGAGAGAGACCGCCTCCCGAATAATCCCCTCATTATACGACGTCGTAGCTATCTTCCCAATCGAGATGTAGATTTGTTTCTCCGCCGCAAAAGCTATGCAAGGATGTGGTAAAGGACGACGAGACTCATCGCCGAGCACTCGAGTAATTTCAGACAGACAGATGCGTATTTGTTCCGCAGCGTCATAATCTCGAGAGAGATCCGTCGCATTGCGCCATAATTGCTACAAGATATGCTGATTAGCTCTCCCTCCTCACCGTCCCCCACATTCGCAACAGAGCTCTCTTACCAAAAGACGATTATATTCCCTCTTGAACCTCGTCAGTCGTTTTTCCGGATTATTCAACGTTACCTTGCTGCCAGCTGGCGCGAGCGAGGTGCCCGCTATCAAGCGTTGCCACTAATTATCGAAAAGAAATATCAGTAACTGCACTCTCATCCAGAGATCTATGTCTCTGCACAGATCAAGATACGATGTCATATCATATACGCAACAAACACTCTCACACCCAAAAGAAACCGCGCAAACTTACAAAATCCATGACTTTGGAGGAGGCATCATTCATATCACCTTGACAAAAGTTATCGCATAAAAAAGTCCGAGAGATAGTAGCCGACGCGATCTGGTGAAACGCGCCTGCAACTTAGATGCGGAAGTTTAATTCTTAGTCAGCAAAGTTCGATATCGTTATCAGGCGTGAGTCAAGTGACGGTGAAATATACACAGGATGGTGAACGTGGAGGGGCTTATGAATTAATGAGGAGCAATGCGATTTCAAGTATATCTGCATATTTCATTTCCCCCTTTTCAATCTGGTAGTAAGTACCCTTATGATGACGATGCAGATCATAATTTTTTGACCCACCTCATATGCCAAGGATATCACAAAATGCCCAAACTGGATCTTATGCAAAATGTATGATACGATACATCGTATATAACTTCAAGTTCTTAAATACATACCCAAGTACCAAATAACATATACACAGAATGTCCTTCATGAGTTCCTTTACTCTAGAATGTCTAACCAAGTCCAATCCATCTCATTTACAAACCCAGAGCCCCAACCAAAACCACCAAAATCGCACTACCCAACCACACAATCTCAGTCTTCCTCCCTGGAATTCCCTCAGACGTCTTCGAACTCTGCACTGCTCCCGCAACTGTACTATCAGCCAACGCTGGTATCGTTGTTGTTCCAGTCTGCGCCCCCAAGACACCCTCTGAAGTACTTGTACTAGCCCAATCCATAACCACCACGATTTTTCCTAATCCTCCTCCATTGATCGCAGATGTAGTTGCACTTCCTGCCACCGTCTCGTTTTGCACCATTGTTTCATCACCCGCCGTTATATAGAGGGAGGTTGTAAATGTAGTGCTTGATGCCTTGGAAACGGAAGAGGGTGTTTCGACTGGCGTCGAGGTGATTGTGTTTATGACGGCTGCGTTCACTGCCGAAATTGTTGTTTGGATGCTTGATAATATTGCTGATTCGGTACTTGTAGTAGTGGAGGTTTTAGTGATTGATCGAGTGAAATATGAGGTCGTAGTGTGAGTCGAAGTAGTGGACGATATTATAGATGATGCGGATATTGATGATTCAGCTGTCTCGCTGGTTGAACCTGCAACAGTTTTGGTACCATAGTTCGCATTCATTATTGATGTGGTGGTGGCAGTAGCCGTGATTTCATTATAGGGGACAAAGGCGGTAGGAACACCTCGTCCAGCACCCAATTTACAATTTTCAAGGTTTATTAGGGAGTCTGATTTATCTGATGCGGCATAATTGACCATCCAATCACGCAATTGTGTTGGCAATGTTGTTGAAAAAGCTCCTGGTGAGTTCCAACCGTGATCTGTATCTTCATCGGCAAGAAAGAACCCGGATGGATAAGGAGATATTTCATCACCGGATGAGCTTTTGATGTCACTCGGGCGAGGGCATGCGTATGAACCATGCTTTGATGTCGGTGATGCAGTTGCATATATGACATCTGTATATACCCAAACAGGTGTTGGCGATTGATAGACTGTTCCATAAGGATCGGTGAAAGCGGTACCGTGAATGAAGGTTGTCTCGGCTCCGTAAACCCCCAAATCAGACCCAATTATGGTTGTAGGAAGACCATTGATGGACGATCTCGTTATGGGTTTCGATGGGGCTGTAAAGTTTGTAGGAATGGTCTGAATACTCGTGATGGCTGTGTCGTCGTATTTATATACGATAGTAGAGACAGTGGCTACAGTAATATTGATGCTTTCAGAATACCATAAAACTTGGCCGACTTGAAATGACGAGAGATAACAGCATTCGAGATTGGCTTCAAGACTGGTCGTAGCTGCTTCGGAACTCGTTGATGTTTCATTGTATGAGATCGAGGCGGCTGCTTGACATCAGTTTTGATTCTTGAACAAAGAAGTAGTTTATGAACGACCTACTTCTCTGTGGGAGTTGCCTAATGCCATGTGCTTGTGTTGCCCATAGTGATACTATCAACAGAGTGGTTCGGATGGTCATTTTCATGATGAGACCGAATAGAATTTCAGGCCCGAAGGATGAAAGGTAAAAAGGTCTCGAGCATGTCTAAAATATGGAGCAGATTTATGGTGTTTAAGAGAGCAGAGACAGGGCTGAGTTCCAGGCCACCAACTTCATCTTGAGAGCAAGAACGTCGGATCGACCCGCAATTTGGACTGTTGGCGCCTACAAACCTCATCAAGAAATTTACGAATCCGAATATCTGGCGCGTAGCGCCTCAGCCATGGAGGAACATTGAAATGACTGGAGAATATAGACTTGGGAAATCTCTGACCAAAATAGAGATCGCGAAAGGCTGATTTCTTAATCGCCATGTCAACTTTGACACGAGGGATACTTGGCACTCCCATCAGAGCTTCGTCTCTGAAATATGCCGGTTGCAAAATCTTCGAATATTTGATTTTGAGCACATGTTGATAAAGTTTTCAACGCTTGAAACGTTTCTGACATTAAAAACAAATTGAGAATATAAGGAAGGCTGTAAAGTATATCTCTTTCAAGAGTTGTAAAGTCAAATTTTTGAAACTTTGAAGATCACAATCAAAAGACACATCGACACTTCCACCTGCAAGGTGACTGATCTTGCAGGATTCTCCTAGGAAGAAATCGATGATTTTCTCATGTGATATGAGTGGTCTCCGAGCAGGCTTTGAGAAAAATGTCAAAGATCAAATTATAATAGCACACTCAAATAGGGGGGGGGGGGGGGGGGGGGGGGGCGTAGCAATACAGCTTCTCAAAGTCTCAAACCATTCGTTGTCAAGTTCATGGATGGAAAAGTTCTCGACCTTTGACAGCCCAGGCAGATTTACTTCAGGAGATGGCAAGACTGGACCAAGTAGAGTGGGGTACACGCGTCTAGTAGTGTCGTGATGAAGAGATGAAGCGATGGAGTTTGGATGTGATCAGAACATAAAAAAAATGAAGTCGTCGGGATTCCATGCCTGTTTTACAGATGTGACCGCACGAAAATAGAGTGATCTACCCAAGTCCCTAATCCGAAACCAGCTAGCTCTTACCTTTAGACGCCCAAGAAATGCGGAGACGAATCTTGGTAACCTTACAGATCACCCATCACTTCTTCCCTTGCGATCCTCGGTGACTTCCCGTGCTTTACCATAAAACTCTGATGATACCCCTGATAACTATATCGTATTTCGAAGAAATTCGTTCACGCTGCCCATGCATGGAAATACCTATGTGTACAGAAATTGCCATCTCTTCTCTGGCTTCGTCATTCATCATTTCTTTCCAAACCTTAACGGTAAGGTCATCCGTGGCACCCAGTGTGATTTATACACATGACTTATGAGTCGAGAGAGACACGTTGAACTCAACTGAAATGAGTTTATTGAAATTAATGAAACGAACCGAGACCGATACTGGGTGGGTATGAGCGAAAAGCTATTTTCAGTTGGAGGATCAGATCACCGTCGTCACCCGAGGCTAAATCATGGAGACTGTTAATATCACGGAATGCTCGGGTCGCCTTTGGTTCATTGCAGATATATTTGAGGTGTGATGGGCAAGTTTCACACATAATTTTCTGGTGTCAATTCTCCTGATGAGACTGGTCGAGGTCCCATGGATGGTGCATAGCTTGGTTTCCAAAGTGTCATGGCGATGTACATAATTTTTGTGAGAATTTTATGAGCGTCTGTCTGGGTTTACATCAATAGGAGTTTGATTTTGAATCCAGCAGCGGTCGTGGTTCCCGATAAATGAATACTCAGGTACGACGGTACTGCTGATCCTGTCCCATTGATTATAGACGAGAAGAGATTTGGGGGGGGGTGAGCGGGGGGTCTGCGACTCTGTATTTGGTCACCAAAATTCTAGAACCACCCCTAAAAAAAAGGGTAACTACTAATGCTGTGTCTGAAATATCGGTCAAGCTTGCAGATGGTGTATGCGGTGAATTGCATGATCGTTTGCCCGATGTCCTTTTCCTAGATTTTCGAAAAGGGTCGCAGAGGAAAATACAAGACGGAAAAGGAACGAGGACTGCAGGTATCCAAACGCGATTCAATCGACATTACCGGATCGACCAATTTCCCCGATAATGAAAGTTATGCCCCATAGCCTGGGAGCTGTTTTAGGATATGTGGTTCTCGTATGCAAGAGACACAACCATCGACCTGCGAGCTCCACCTTGAATGATATATTATCCGGAGACATGACCATTGCTTTCGGAGCGTTTGCGCATACCCGGTGGTCAGAATGGTCACTGGAGTCTGACAATATTAGATAGAATAGCTACCCCTTTGTAAATCAGTCACGATGAAGATATTTTGGGTTTCTATATCGACACAGTCGACAGTCCCCGAGCGCAAGGAAGAAGATTTGCAGCTGGGCCGAATGGCCAAATGGTAGGTTGAGAATTATGGTGGTCGGTTGTTGTTTTTGTTGGTTGTGGTTGTGGTTGTGGTTGCTGTTGTTGTTGCTATCGAAACATCGATCTCGGTAACCAGTTGAATGTTGCCATGGAAGGCAGGGAAGGTCCTAGTCGCTGGACGGCTGTCATCATCAGCTGAGTTGGGATGAGGGGTAGATTGATGGCTGGAAACGGAGCTATTTTCACATTTATTCATGGATGTAGCTTCGGAAAATTAAGAGAGATCTGGGTAGTTTGGGAGGGAGGTAGGTATTGATGGTGAGATGGGATTCTGTTGTTTCCAAGTTTTGTTGATGTTTTTATTTGGATGGATTTGTATGTAGGTAGGTATTTGTGTGGATGTATTTGTATGTATTCGTATGTGTACATGTATGGATATGGATATGGTAACTAGGTATTGATATATCGATATATTGATAGATGTATACCGATATATTACCTACTGCGTAATCACAATAATAATTACCTTGATGCCGTCCACCGGCGATATGTAGGTAAGTTATACGACAGCAAAGACAACCTATGAGAGAGTCGTATGCATGAAATCATGATATGTATGTAGGTGTATCGGTATGTAGTATGTAGCATGTAGTATGTACGAAGGACTTGGTTGCATCATTCTTCTTACATCGTCCCCAATCCCTTGCACGTACTTTTACCTACATGAATGATAAGCTGCGCATAGTGGAGAAGAGCGCCGTGCGTGCGGAAAGTGTCCCTTTTTTCCTTTGTTTACATGGACTGGATTCTTCACAATGCAGCCAACAACCAATGATTTCCATGTCGTGAATACCGTCTTTTGATATGTGAGACGACGGGGTGGATGGTTCATGAAGCAACATATAGTAGCGGGCTGGGTCGTGTGTGTATCTTTGCTCTCATTCGATATTATCCTCGCTGGACCTTCTGCAGGAACCCCGACCATCCACGGCGAACAAATGGCATTGTGCGATTTTCTCTTTCATAATTGTCGATGGATCACATACTAGGTACTCGTACACATACTCGAATCTTCTACCTTGCTCCAAAGAGTCGAAAGGTCTCAAATGCATCCATGGATCGAATCCAATGGGGACGGATTTGGAACTTTGGCTATCAATTGGAGCGACAATTGAGTTTACGGAGCCAATCATCGGATGATGTCTGTAATTTCATTTGAATTCTAGTGCGGGGCGTGGAAGACTTCACTAGGATTAGGGGTTATTCAAGGTTTCTCACACTTCATACTAGGCATCAAGTAGTCAGGAAGAGGTCATGAAGAGGTCAGGAAGAGGTCGGTATTATATATCTGACTTTGATTTTGTATGGATGGTAGTCATATGTATGGTAGTCATACGCATGGTAGTAGGTAGGTAGTCATAGTCATAGTCATAGTCATACTCACACTCACACTCGTACTCATAGGTACTCATACTAAAAGATACTACAAGACTACAATCTACGACTAGGTCGAAAGGCTGAGGGAGCGATATCAAGTCGTAGGTACGAAAGTAAGAAAGGAAAGAAAAGAAAAAAAGGGAGCACGGTTGCTAGAGCGACGCGTCTAAATATCCACCCCTACCACACATACCTAGGTGCATACTCCAAGAAAGAAAAAGTTACCCAACTCGGCACATTCAAGCATAATAATAATATAAATAATAATAATAATGATGACAATTCTAACAATAATAACAATAATATACGATAATAATAAATAAATTCTTGTTTACTACCCAGGTACCTAGGTATATTTGTGATGATTATTCTGATATTGATTATCCGATTATTCTTCGATTGCCCGATTCTTTCATTATTCTATTACAGGTAATAGAGTACATCCATCCTATCCATCCCATCCCAATCCATCCCATTAAAACCACAAAAAGTCAGCCCCATACAATTTTATACTCTTTCGTCTTCTGTCTTCTCTTCTCCTCTCCTCTCCTCTCCTCTCCTCTCCTCTTCTATCCTCTCTCTCTCTCTCTCTCCTACCAGTCAACCAGCCCAGTCCACCAGTCCAGTCAGCCAGTGATAACATAATCGGTCCCGGTACGACAATCTTTTGTTGATACAACCCCCTTCAACTCCCTCGCCCCAACCCAAACAAACATCATCCATCCAATTACTTGCCTCTCTTTCTTCTAATTTATTCTTCTTTGCTGTACCTGTACCTGCAAACTATCTTCCTCAAGATTCTTCATTTTCCGCGTCAATAACGACCACCGCTTTCTCCTTTTTTTAATATTGAAGCTCCTTTTTTTTTAATCTCCCATTAAATCAAACAGTACAGTATTCAAGGCGGGAGTGAATCTCTCCTTCGTAACCCCAATTCAACAAATCAACTTACCTATACATTCGTTCCTTGAACCACTATAAATCCATCTACCAGCTACGCGCATTCCTCGCGTCTGATAACGAAAAGGCCTGCTTGCTTTTTTATCAACATTGTCATTTGTCCACAATCCCACATTCCACAAATATACATCTGGCTACTGCAAGGTGATTATCCTTCTCCACAACGACACATTCGGGGTTTTTTGGGGGTGGAAGTTGGTAACTTGATAAGATGTCTTCTTCGTCTTCGCAACCGGTAAGCGCACACATCGATAGATAAATTTAGATGAGAGAGCGCGTGGAGGCTCATGCGGTGGTAATGGTTTTGGCAAGATAAACATGAAATCTAATATTTACAATGCAGGTTCCTCCGCTGAGGATTCAGAAAGGTTCCATCTCATCTGGATCACCAGTCAAAACTTCCACACCGCGACCACTTTCAGAGCTAGCTCCAACAGCTCAAAGGCGGAATTCTCCAAGTTATAAGCAAGCCACAAAGGTAAGAATTCCATGTGTCGATTTTCAGCATTTCTCTCGCTCGGAGATTTAAAAGCTAATTCTGACGTAGAAGATGAGTCTCAATCTCAATGGAGATTCGTCTCCATTCCAGTCCTCCCCGTTCACTTCCGCCGAAGGCTCCTCTCCACATCTCTTCTGGCAAAACCGTGATCCAGGCACACCAAATCGAGTCGGCACGGAAAATGCGTTCAAAGATTCCTCGATATCCCCAACAAGAAAATCATCCATCGAACGTTTACAGCGCGCGTCGCGTGTGAAGAACAGCACCATGTACGCAAGGGAGCAGAAACTCGAATACGACCCCATGTCAATACCCGTTGTTGAGAGACCATTGGCGAAGAACATACAAGGCAATGCTTATGGAGGAAAAGGTCTGGAAGGGTTTAGATCGGAGCATAATCGACCATATAACCACATGAAGACGGATAGTAAAAGCAGTATTTCACTGGCCAGTCCGCCACCTCTGAGCCCGAACAGAGAGCCCTTGAAGGTAGCAGCAGCAGCAACAAACGGTCTACGATCACCCAGCAAAGATCAAATTTCTCCGACGAAATCCTCCATGGCAACTAGTCGATTTACTGGCAAGGCACTGTACGATCCAGAGCACAATACCTTTGGCGATGAAGATTCGGGTGATGAGAGAGAACGAGAGCTTCCGCCTGGACGAAGTTTACACAGACATGCGAAGAGTGTTACTTTTGATGTAGCTCCTCCGCAGATCAACGAGTACGAATTAGCTACACCTGATATATCATCTATTGGAACAGGTTCTCGGGAGAATAGTTATGATTCCGAGGAGGATGACGAAGAAGATCTCTACTACCATGACAACGGGCTTGAGCAAGACGATAGCTTCGATGCTTCTCTTGAGGATATTGAAAAGACACCAGTTGTTGGACCGGATGACTGGAGACATCCCAGCCCGAGAAATAGCTATGGTCAAGGTTCTGCTTACTTCGATGATCCATTTGACGGTCCAGATGGTAGTCCAAGGCCTGATGCTCGTCCTTCATCCTCGGCGGGGCGTCCTAACGGGACACGCAACGATTCGTTAAACTCAAATGGCGAACATCGACCACTACCACCTCTACCCGGTATGGCTGCCAATGACCGAAGGGGTTCGGCGTCCTCGGGTATTGAGCGTGGAGCAACAAGTTCACCGAGAAACCTGCCTACGCCACCTCCTCCCACCTCTATCAGCAAAGCAGATCTTCAAGGAATGAACGGAAACAAGCTGACTTTGGAGGAGAGATTGCATTTGATGATGATTCAGGACGATGATAGGCCAAAGTCTTCTGAAGGTAGACCAAAATCTGCCGAGAGAGATGAGCAACGAGAACGTCGCATGCGTCGTGCAGGAGCACGTAAGAGTCAGACACCGGAACGAGAGGCCCAACCCAT